GTGTCCTGCTCGCCCAGCACATAACCTTGCAGGCCAGAGCCCTTTCCTTGACCACCGGAGCAGATCTCGCTGGGTGACGCGCAGTCCAACTACCTGCTGAGCACGGCCGAGAACGAGCTGGGCGTGGTGGTGGCCCACGGCGAGGCAGGTATGAGCAGGACTGCGGCCCCAGCAGCACGGGCCGCTTCAGCAGCTGGGGTGGGCTGAGCTGTGTCCCCTGCTCCCCAGGCTGCCCGGGGAAACAGGAGGAGCTCTCCTGGTGCTAGTGGATCAGTAGCGTCCAGCGGGCCCCCCAGGCTTATGCGGGGCCTGACCATCAGGACACCTGGGTTCTCTTGCTGTCCCTGGGAGTTGCAGGGGCTGTGCCCTTATGCTGATGCTGGCAGAGGGACCAGGCAGGCCTGTCCTCATTACTGGGGCTCTCGGTGACACTGCACTGGTCCCTAGGAGCACGGCTGGTGCCCATCAGCTGGTGTGAGATGCAGTGTCCCCGGACGCATACCAAGGAATTCCGCAAAGTGGCCCGCGTGCAGCCCCAGTTCCTGCAGACCTAGGCTACCCCGCGCTCCCCGGCAGGATTACCTGAGCCAGGAGCCAGCCGGAGCCCCCTTCACCGAAGTACCTGCAGCATCACCTGGACTGGTGCCCACGTGCGCTGGGCTGGGACTCGGGCCTCCACCAACACCTGTCAGGAACCGGATGCAGCTCTGGCTCCCTGGGCCCTGCCCCCAGGCAGGATTTTAGATTCCTGAGCTGTGAACAATAAAGGCTTTCCCAACCCCTCCCCTCCTTGGTGATTCCCAGCCCTGAGTGGGGGCTGGGTTAGAGGTTGCCTGGGAGAAGCCGGTTCATGGCCCTGCAGCACTTCCTGGGCTGTCTACACCAGGGTGTGGGGTTGGGAACAGGCTGGGGAGCAAAAGGCCAGGGAGCAGTGGGCTCCTGGTTTCCACGGCTAGGGCAGAGAACAGGCAGGGTCTTCTAGCCTGGGTCTGTTGCTGCGTAGAGGACAGCAGGGGCTCAGTGTACTGCAGCTGTGAAACCTGTGGGTCCCCCCCAAGCTGGACCAGGTGGAGCTGCTTTGCAGCGAGTCTACCCCCCCCCAACTGGTTGGAGGAGCAGGAAACAATGGTGGGCATTGAACGGCTATTCTGGAGAAGGGGCCTGGGTCAGAGAACAAAAGCAGCTCCTTTCCCCCTCCCCCCACAAGATGAGGCTGCAGCTTAATCTGGGAGTCAGGCCTGAGGGTGAATGAGCGTGGGGGGAGGCAGGGGTCTGTGCCCCATATCAGGCACAGGGTTTATACATGCCGTGGCAGGACCCCTCTTTGTTCCAGGCCTGTTTACCCCCACCCACTGGACAGACCTGGCCACAGGCCCCCAGAACTAGCTCAGCCCTCCCAGCAGGTGCTCTGGACCAGGGCAGCCACAGTGGGGCCTTGCTCCCCACCCAGAGCAGCAGGGGACAGCAGCCAGCCAGGCTCATGCTTCCAGCCTAGAGCAGAGCCTCAGATCACACCCAACACGCTGCTATTGCACATCACTCCTTTATTGTACAGACACAAGACACTGCGATGGCTGGACAGTGACGCGGGGCCCAGGAGCTGCCAGGAGCACGGGGGTCCTAGAGGGTGGGGGGTAGCGGAGCAGCTCCAGGCTCTGGGAATGTAACCGTGAGGAATCCCGGGCGCCACGGCCAGGGCAGAAGCAGGGCAGCCCCAGGCCGGGCACGGGGAGTCTAGCAGCAGGACTACAAGAGGGTGGGGCTAGAGCTGCCCAAGGGAGCCGGGGTCGCTCCAGCTCCGACACTGGCTCTAAGTAGACTAAGGGGCCCGGGCAGGTGCGCGGGGGCTTGGTCCAGGTGGTCCCGGGAGCCCCCCCGGCCAGGCTCCGAGCTGGTGTTCCTAGGCTGCGGGCATGTGCGCGGGGGTGGGAGGGGGGGACGGCTCTGCCACGGAGCCGCCCTCACTTCTTGGCCTTGCCTTGCGCAGCCACGGCCTCCATGGCCTTGCGCACCGTCTCCTCGTCGCCCAGGAACTGCATCTAAGGGGCCCGGGCAGGTGCGCGGGGGCTTGGTCCAGGTGGTCCCGGGAGCCCCCCCGGCCAGGCTCCGAGCTGGTGTTCCTAGGCTGCGGGCATGTGCGCGGGGGTGGGAGGGGGGGACGGCTCTGCCACGGAGCCGCCCTCACTTCTGGGCCTTCCCTTGCCCAGCCACGGCCTCCATGGCCTTGCGCACCGTCTCCTCGTCGCCCAGGAACTGCATCGGCTTCACCGGCTTCAGGTTCTTGTCCAGCTCGTACACGATGGGGATGCCCGTGGGCAGGTTCAGCTCCATGATGGCCTCCTCCGACATGCCTGCAAGGCAGGGCAAGGTCACAGGCCGCCCCCACCCCCTCCCCCGGGGCAGCCTGCATGGGGGTGCCCTGCCCGGCACTGCCCCGTCCCCCCCGGGGCCCTCGTACCTTCCAGGTGCTTGACGATGCCGCGCAGGCTGGTGATTTGCCCGTGGCCAGCCACCAGCACCCGCTTGCCCTCCTTGATCTGCGGGACGATCTCCTCATTCCAGAAGGGCAGGGCGCGGGCGATGGTGTCCTTCAGGCTCTCGCAGGTGGGCAGCTGGTCCTGGGTCAGGTCGGCGTAGCGCCGGTCCTGCAACGCCCACGGCCCTCGTCAGCCCCGGCCCCGACAACCGCGCAGGTGCGAGCTAGGGAGCGAGCCCCCCCCCCCCCCCCCCCCCGCCGGCCCCCCCCCGCCGACGGGCGCG